CCTCCCTCCCTCCCTCCCTCCCTCCTTTCCTTCCTTCCTTTCTTCCTTCCTTCCTGGCTTGAACTCAGGGTCTGGGTACTGTCCCTGAGCTCTTTTGCTCAAGGCAAGTACTCTACCACTTTGAGCCACAGCTCCATTTCCAGTTTTCTGGTGGTTAGTTGGAGATAAGAGGCGTGCTGACTTTTCTGCCTGGGCTGGCTTCGAATAGAGATCCTCAGATCTCAATCTTCTGAGTAGCTAAGATTACAGACGTGAGCCACCAACGATGATGTGATTCTTACAATAATATGCGGATCATATGTGGGGCATATTCATCAATTGAAAAGCAATATAATCCAAATAATTTTTGATCTTTGGAATGTTTTCAAAGGAAAAAAATTAAAAACTTACTTGCAGAATACATCTAGCTAAATAGTGTTTTACTGTCTATGGCTTGAGAGAAGAATAGATTAAAAAAAAAGAAAAACCAATGGATTTGTGGGGAAAAGCCATCCAAGTGGAGAGTAGCTATTAAACTGTTCCTACAGACAGAGCAATAATGTCACAATCCTTCTCCTTGTTTAATTGTTCTTTGAAACCCTCTCTCCTGTTTACAACCATAGCCTGGGAATAAACACCATATTCAGTGTGCTTACAGTGTGCCAAATACCATTTTAGCACATCACATATATCATCTCTTTCTCCATAGCAACACTGCTGTGATGGGATAAGTTATCTACTATACAGATGAGAAAATTGAGGTCTAAAGAGACTCTGAACTGGAACTTTTGAAACATGATTTTATTTGATTTAAATCTTTGTTTCTAAGACAAAGTAATCCTTTTCCATTTTCCCCACCCTCCTATACCAGAATAACACGGTGGCCAACTAATAACCATCGTGTCATTGGCATTAGGTCCTAGGCATCTGTTAGCATTTGATAAATATGAATAAAAATGAGCTGAGTTCACAGAGTGACTTTCAGATCCAAGGAGATGCTCTAAAATGGCTAATTTGAAATTCAAAATTCTCTCAATTATTCTTTACTTTAAAATATTAATTTTCTCTTGACTTAGAATTTGATGATATTGAATAGAGTCACCATTGCTAGCTTAAGAAATGAACATATTTAATTGTGACCTTTGCTTCACAGGCCCTAGAATACCTGCTGTGGGCTAGCATATGCATGGAGTCCTCAGTCCCACTCCTGTCTGTCAGGTACTTGACGTGGAGAACTACTCTTTATACAGCTGTTTGTCAATGCTACTATGACTGCCAGGCTGGCATTCATGGTGAGGTATGTGCCTTTTCACTTGGAGGTTCCAACATCTGAAATAGAGCATTTTCTCCTTTAGATGTCCCAAGGAAACAAATTCAAAAACAACCAAATAACTGAAAGGAAGCAACGTCAACAATTCCAGGCCTTAGGTGAAGAAATTTGCTTGACCTTTCCATTATGTATATATCTCTGCTCTCTGTTTTATTCTCTTAACTTCTACCTCCTTCCTCATTCTCTGAACATGATTTCTAGTGCCTTTCTTTCCTTATTTTGTTCTTACAGGTAAGCTACCTTCTTTTCCTGTTCAGTTTTGGTACTCTGCTACCTATTATACTTTACCTTGCCTTTTCTCTGCTTCCATTCACCAATTGTTGCATCCTGTCTCTCCTTATTTCCTCTTGTCTTTTCCTCATCTATGAGACTATATACTTGAAATACAACTTGGCAGTGGCTTCTATTAGCTTTTACAAATTCTATGTGTAAATTAAAAGAATACTTTATAAGATGTAGTACTCAACATTCATTCATGCTAAAAGCTCTGGAGAAAATAGGAATAGAAGGAACAATTATAAAAACAATAAAAGCCATTTATGACAGACCAATAGCCAATATTATACTTAAAGGGGAAAAGCTACAACCAAT